GCATGATATATATGCCCCAACACACCTTGAGGCATGATATATGCCCAACAAACCACCTTGATGCATGATATATGCCTAACACACCTTGAGGCATGATATATGCCCAACACACCTTGAGGCATGATATATGCCCAACACACCTTGAGGCATGATATATGCCCAACACACCTTGAGGCATGATATATGCCCAACACACCTTGAGGCATGATATATGCCCAACACACCTTGAGGCATGATATATGCCCAACACACCTTGAGGCGTGATATATGCCCAACACACCTTGAGGCATGATATATGCCCAACACACAGTGAGGCATGATATATGCCCAACACACCTTGAGACATGCACACACAAAAAGAATATATTTTTTTCTTCCAGACATTATTGATGTATATTATACTTCCCAGGATATAGTGGAAAGTGGTACTTATAAATCTGTAAAATATTGATTACATTTCTCTTTCCTTATTTGTTCTTATTCAATCTATTGCACTGTGTATGCGATTATTAAATATCACCTTTGAAGAGTAATGAGTTCAGTTAGCAAATCACCTTTGAAAAGTAATGAGTTCAAATAGCAATCTAGATAGCTGTTAGTAATTGTAACCTATAGTAAAGATCACTGGCTGAGTCAGACATATAGAGACACACACACTTTATGTGTTAGGCAAATTCATTCTGCAATGCATGCAACTTTAGAGCTAATTAATACACATCCTGGAGTTTACTCTGACAAGTTTGCATTTGTGACTAAGGTTGAGACCAGAGCAGCATGGACACACATAATTGATGCAGCAATTAGCTGAAGTACTCACATAAAGTAGAGATCACCATTTTGTATTATTATTCAAAGTTTGAAGCATAGTCTCATGGCTTAGAAATGATGCTTCAGTTTAACTCATTGTATTTGGTGACTTGGAAATAATGCTTCAGTGTAACTCATTGCATCTGGTGACTTGGAAATAATGCTTCAGTTTAACTCATTGCATCTGGTGACTTGGAAATAATGCTTCAGTTTAACTCATTGTATCGGATGACTTGGAAATAATGCTTGAGTTTAACTCATTGCATCTGGTGCCTTTGAAATGATGCTTCAGTTACACTCATTGTATCTGGTGACTTGGAAAAATGCTTTAGTTAACTCATTACATCTCATAACTTGGAAAAAATGCTTCACATTTACTCATTGTATTTTATGACTTGGAAATAATGCTTCAGATTAACTCATTATTATCTTGTAACTTATATCTGCTTGTGATCTGGAATGATTTTGATGCTTACATGCTTTTGTCTGAAACATATTAACCCACTGCTTCAATAACACTTCAGACAATAATAGCACTGATGATACTATAACAACGACTGACAGCTCTGGATCTACAGTTAGTGATAATGGCACAGCAGGTAAACAAACAAACACAATGCAGGATTCTTTGCTAGCACTTATTTGCTTCTAATGATGTTTTATAACTCTTCTGTGATGATGATGATGAAACAGAAGCCTTGGAGTAATTAATATTTTCTTCTTCTTTGGGCTCACTGGCTTTAAATCTTGCAGAAAGTTCTAGTTGTTTTCAGCTTGTGGACTTCAGTCTTGTTCAAGAACTTGAATTTTGAATGCACATCTGTTTGACAGATCTGGCTTACCTGTATGCAAACTGTTGGTTTCTCACCGCTCAGGCCGATGCTTTCAGACTTCAGAGGAACAATCCCTAATTAGTTGCCTTTTACAATATACTAGTAAGGGAGACAGTGGGTCAGTTCTTTTTTCCATAAAATGGGCTCATGTAACCCAAACGGAGAACTAGTATTTTAACTTCTTATTTTTTTTGGGGGGTACTTTTCCTAGTTTGTTATATCAACATTGGTGGTGGATTTCTTTGATTTAGTGATGACTATAGGCTCCCACCTGGCAGACCTGGGTTTGAATCCTTGATAAGAGGTGATGGATCGTTATCGTTTCTGTTGGCACAAATATACAATCCTAACCTGCCCAGTCTTTGGCTGAGGACACACCCCCCCCCTCCCCGCCCCTTTTTTTCCCAATCCTGAACTGCTGCAACAAGTGTTAAACACAGGCTGTTATTGTTGGTATTGGATTTTTTTTCAAGATGATAACTGTAATGTATAAGGCAGACAAACTGGAGGTAACAGTGACTGGTTGCCAACAGACATGTGCAGCTTTTATTGATCAGAACAGTTACTGCATGGTTTTACAGAAGGATCTGGATTTTACTGTGGACAGTTAGAAATATTTAAAAACGTGTTCTTTACAGCACATTGCAGAACCAACTCCAGCATTTGATTTCTGTTTGTGATTTGACTTGGCAGTTTTACATTCACTAGTTTGGCATTACTCTCTGAACAGTCAGCTCTTGGTACCACTGTTGAAACAAATGCTTGTGTGGGTTGCTGCCAAATTGCCTACTTCTGGCACTTGAACTCAGCATCGTGGAGTTACAATGCACATTTGCAGTTCCTAAGCCACAGTAACAACACTTAGAAATGTAACATGTTGCAAAAGAGCCAGGTCACAAGGAAACATTAGTAGAGGTATCAGAGAGTTAAACCTGAACATTTTCCCTATTTGAGATAGAAAAGAAAAACAAAGAAAATATAAAGAGACAATTGATAAGATGAAAATCGTATCATTAAGTTATACTTAATCAGTAAATTACCCACAGAAAAGATCTTATGAATCTCAGGAGGAGATGATTACAATGTGAGCTCACTATAAACATATTTTTTAAATTTTAATCTTGAAGAGGTGCACTGGGAATATGCCGTGCTGGTGCCCTGCACTTCATAAATAAATGTGTAATCTAAGCCTTCTGCCGTGCTGTAAAATGCTGATAGATATTGTGTTTTAGTTCTATTGATATTTGGCAGATGTTTTGGAACATCTAATGCGTAGATGTTATCTTTATAAGACTTAACTGCTACCAGCATTTGTTTTATTTTTGTAATAAATAAGTGATCAAAAGCAGAAAGATTCAACTTTACAAGAATACAGCTAGAGAACCTTCTAAAAGCCTTGATGACTGTAATCTTGAAAAGCTGACAATCTTGATGAAATAAAGCTGACAACCTTGATCAAAGCTTTCTGGTCTTGACATCTTGATGTTTCTTGTGATTGATCTTGTAAAGCTGACAACCTTGATCAAAGCTTTCTGGTCTTGACATCTTGATGTTTCTTGTGATTGATCTTGTAAAGCTGACAACCTTGATCAAAGCTTTCTGGCCTCATGTCTTGCTGTTTCTTATGACTGGGCTTATAAAGCTGACAACCTTGATCAAAGCTTTCTGGCCTCAACGTCTTGTAACTGATCTTGTAAAGTTGATTGCACTGAGGAAGGCTCTCTGGTTGCACTGTCCATTCTGTCACTTCTTAAGAGATGATTCTGTCAAGATAACTATTTATGTAGGTAAATATAACCTTTAGAAACGTTAACCCTGGAATACCCTAATATAGTAATGGACGCTCCTTTCCTTCTGCTTTCATCAATGTAATACTTTATAAACCTTTGATTAATATGTTTAGTCTACAAGACATTGAGGAAAACAATGTCTCTATACTGTTAAATTAACATAATAACATTAAATATTACAACCTAATTTAGTTTTCATTCTCTGTTCTGTTACAGTCTATTTGTGTTTCACATGCATTATGATTTTGTTTCAGAAAATTTCACTACACCTTCAGCATCTTCCACGCAAACACAGCAGACTACTACCACAACAGCAACATCAACAGTTACAACAACCCCGACAACCCCCACCACTACAGGTAATGAAGAAAGTTTAGTCAAATGTGCAGTCAAAATCGCATTCGCTGAAGCTAGATTTTTTTTTTTTTTTTTACTATTTGTGTCTCAGTTTTTCAACAACAACAAAAAAAGACTAGTTTCCATTTCTGACATGACTCTGTTTTGATGGAGTGAAATATGACTGGTGTCATTTTTATTTTCCTTATTTGAAGTTGATCATGCTGTTACAGGTTATTGGCTCACGTGGGGCTATTGTCTCCTACACAAAGATCGAAAAAACTTCTTGTAAAATTGTGATGTACACGATATTTCTAACTGTTGTCCAGTTCACAATCACGCAATTATTACTGATTTTGTCTTGAAAGTGTCTTTGTTCTGTAATGGATTCTGATAAATTCCCTTTCATGCAGGTTCAGATTGAAAGATTTCAGTTATTACTGATTACTTTCCTAAAAACCACCAGTGTTTTTCTTAGAAATGGTCAGACAGTCGACAGCAACTGGTGACTCTCAGTGTTATGGGATGATATTGATGATATATGTATTTTCATATGCACGTGCGTGCACACACACACACTCATAAACATAAAGTTGAGTGGTTTATGTACTTGCAGCAGTTTTGTGTTTGGATGTTACCTAATGCAGGATGCAAATTAATATTTTTAGTGTTGAAAATTTCATGTCTGAGGGCTAGTACTTGTAGATTTAGAGAAGACAAACAAGATGAGTATATAACAGGGATGTTTGCCTTCCTCTCTCATTCCTTTATATGTCCTAGAAAAACAAATCAAGACAGTTGTATTTAGTGTTTTAAAAGCCCAACAGGTATACAAACATAAATACTCACACGCACACAAATATATGTGTACTTTAATATAAGCGTAACAACAGATGCATAAGTGTGCATGTTGGGGATTGACAGATTGAGATAGTTATTGGTTCTACAAGCCCTGTTTGAAAGTGACTTATTTGGTTTTATTTCTTTCAAAGCCTGTTGACGTTTTCCCTGACTTTTAGTTGGCGCTTTTCATTATAAAGGGCTCTACATGTTGTTTACTTTGTCGACCTGTTTTTCTTTTCTGTTCCTCATTTACTGAATTGTTCTTATTTTCTAAATTCTGTCCCGTTATTGTTATACAGCGCTTGATTGAGCTTTCTTATTTCTCATGAGGTCATTACCAGTGATCCACTGTTAATGTTATACTGATGTAATGGGATATTATCAAATGTGAACTACTCTACTTACTTGACAGGTGTTTTTGATTTTATATGGAGTTATATGCTGCTCCTGGTCAGATGTGCAGATTTTGTGTGATAGTGACTCCAATGCAGATAAGGCGTCACTGATAATTTCTAAATCATATGGTTTTGTTCTACAAGGCAGTGCACCAGTTTAGTGGCACTTTGTATTTCAATCATCTGCTTGATAATTAGAACAGTTTATGTTGCAGGAGTCACAAAACTCAAACATTGTTCTATTTGGATAATATAAATGCAATATCCTGCATATGAGGTGACGAATACTAAACCTCTCGTCTATAACTTGTATACTGATGTTAGGTAGCTGTTGATGGTTTTCAAGAACACATGTATTTCGTTCTGTGGGGAGGGAGGAGTCCTTTTGATCATTTTGTCAAGTAGAATTATTTTATTTCACTCAGAATAGTCTCCAAGTACATTTTAGCTCAATTCCCTCTTCATTGAGAGGTTGTTTTTAATCCGGTGATGATATTCCTCCATGCCACTGTCTTAATTAAGCCATTCACTATCATTCACTTGGTCTGCCTCTGCCTCTTCTACCAATGATCTTTTCAGTCGTCACAATATGTTCCAGTGCTCCTTTTCTCATCACATGATCAAAGAGCTTTGTTTGTCTCCTTCTCATTGACATACAATGTTCTACTTTCATTAGCCATTTCCAGGCAAGTTTAGAGTAACAACTTAATTTTATTGCATAGCCACCCTGAAACATATGTTATCTTGGTGTAATCAGATGATCAATTTTTTAATGTTAACATGTATTCTGTATTTTTATCTACCCAGAAATTCCTTTCGAACATGGCTGTACCCCCGGTGTTGGGAAGTGTGCATCTAACCTCATCTGTGATACTACAACAAACAGATGTGTTTGTCCGAGTAACCAGTACTACAACAATGTTACAAATAACTGCCTACAGAGTAATATTTTATTAGCAGATTTTCTTGTATTGCTTCAGTGTTCTCTAGATTACCACCTTCTTGGTAGATTATTTCTTTTTATCATAGGTTTTGTCTATTGTAGCTTTGTTTATTTACACAGCACCTTTGCCTATGTCTAAATGTGTTTTTATGCCTCAAATTTACACTTTTAACCATTTATCTCCTGAGATATTTCCATTTTAACGGAGAATCAGCCTCATATCATTTACAGCAGATTTAAGAAAGTAGTGAATTATCTTCTCATCGTGTGTATATAGTGCAGAAATGTAAGTTTCTAGGCATATGGAAAAATCCAACAAAATATTTACATATATTTGCAAGACCCTGAGCTGTCATGGATGTTTTCAGTTTGTTGTGATGCTGCTTTTATGAACACATTTCTTTCATGTTTCCTCTTGTTGGCCTAGGTCCAAACCTGAAAGAAACAAAAGCTTTCAATGTTAAGTCTTAGAACACAGAAAACAGACACAGTTTGATGCTTTTAGGATGATGTATAACCCATGAAATTGTTAAATGAATTTAGCTGCAAAAGGCAGTCCAGTATTCTAATGCTGGCATTGCTATATTCTTCAGTTCTTATATCATCATCAGTTCTCGTTACGCCTAGTGGCACATGAGGCTTCAGAGAGGACTTTCCATGCTTTCTTGTCCTGTGCAGTTTTCCATGTCAAAGATGCCGCTCTCAGGTCACTTTCCATCGTTCGTCTCCATGTTGTTTTTGGGTGCCCCTGTTTTTTCTTTCCCTCTGGTGTCCATGTGAGAGCTGTTTTGGCAGGTATATCAGAATTCATTCTCATAACGTGGCCAAGCCGTTTCCATCTTCTCTTGGTAATCATACTGTCTAAAGTTTCTTGGTTTGTGACTTGAAGTAGTTTAGTGTTTGAGATTGTATCTGGCCATAAAATTTTGATAATTCTACGTAGACATGTGTGGTGGAAGGTGGACAGCTGTGTGCATCCTTTTTGGTCATTCTCCAGCATTCCGCTCCATAAAGAAGAACTGGCAAAATGATGCTCTTGTAGAGTCAGAGTTTTGTTCCTCTGCAGTAATTGTTGGATTTCCAGATTTGCCTCATCCTTCCAAGAAATCATTTGTAGACGACTTAGTTCTCGGTCGGGTTTCGTAATCAGCTGAGCAGCCACCTCACTGCGAACTGTTGAGACTCAGCCCTAGACCAGGAGATTTGTTCGCAGCTTAGACGAGCAACATCAAAAAAAAAAAAAGCAGCTCTAGCTTTGTTCAGAAGTGAGTGTATTACTCTTCGGTGTCTCCCGGAAGGGACACCACACTGCCAAGACATGTGAAATGTTCTACATTTTCAAGAGTTTGGTGATTTATGGTCACTGGTTGTTGGTTTGGATTGCTTGTCTAATATCATAGTATAAGAGAAATATTCACGTCCTCTGACTTGAATATTTATGTTGCATTATAACAGTCAGTGTCACTGCATATTGGGCATTGCCATCTTGAATAATTGAGTTCAGTCACCATATGTGCTGTACAATAATTTCATTTTAGTAAAATCAGACATTGGAATTTAACACTGATTGTTAATATGTGCAGCCAGTGGGAATAACAACATTTATAGAATATAAAAGGAAGAAATATATTTGTGAATATTAATGAATAAGCATTTGAAAAAAGTCAGTTAAATCTGACAAGCATACTAGTGGATGTTTGGTTCCTAGTCTGTTATTATTACAGCTAAAGGTGAGCAGATGATGTCACCATCTATTAAATATTCCCAATGTTTGAAAATGAAATTACCTCTTGTCCACCAAGTCTGTTCTTGGTTTCAGTGAGACATTTCTGTTTCTGCTGACAGAAAATGTGGCAAGTCTTTGGTGCCCCAACCAAATGCTGCATAAATATCGAACTAGTAGTTGTCCACCGTTAAAAAAACAAAAAAAAAACCTTTTGATTTCAGATTCATACTTTGTATCAGTGACCACCAGTCAGAACGTACTGGGAATAACCACATGCTGTAGGCAGTTCCTATAGTTATCCACTTTTCTAGTTGATAATGTGAATGGAGGCACAGAAAGTCTAGCTCTGTAGTAGTATATACCTTTTAGGAATCACACGGGAAGAACTTGAAGCTGTGGGAATTGAAATAATTACACAATTATTTAAAATATTTAATATAGGGTACATTCCTCATGACCTATTAAACTCTATATTTATTGCTCTGCTGAAAATAATTGTGAGAAACAAGATTAAAGCAGAAATTGGTGTAGAACAATGTGGTGTTATAGAAGAAAAAGTCTCCCCCCCCCCCCCCCCCCCCCCCCCCCCCCAGCTGTATTTGTCCTTGGAACTCTGCCAGAAAGACTATAGAAATTAAAAAAAAAAAAAAACTGATCTTTGCCTATGCTTCATTAACCCGACATTTGATTGTGTAAAATATGAGGAAATAATCAAACTACTGGAAAAATTAAACTGGTGGAAAAGATTTACGAATGATAAGGAACACATAATGGCAGCAAAGAAAAAATGGCTATAATGGTAATAACCATTTGGGAACATTTCAGAGGATAAGTAGGGGAGTACGACAAGATGTGTACTATCACCTGATTTGCTTTCATTATACAGTGAATGTATCATAAGACCTATTATTGATATGCCAGGTTTTGTGGTTGGTAGTCATAACAGGTTCTTGATCATGCTGATGGCGTCATCTTGATAACGACAAGTCAGAAATGTGGCACAGTCGTGCCTATACATCCCCCAAGAAATAGATGTGCCTAATTCGGCCAAGTTGAATGAATATAGTTCTTAGCTCTCTTCAATCGTACTCAAGAACAAGGCCAGTGATGTAATCAATTACACAAGAGCTGGTTTATTTACAATATTCTCGTCACACAGGCTTCATAAATTCAATAAGCAATAGTATATGAATACTTTATATCTGGATACAGGCTATTCATATGACTCTCTACGAGTTCCTTAACCACTGTTCTAGCTAAACTCCAAGTTTAACATATACCTTCTAAACGAAGTAAAGCACCAGTTTTCTCCTAACCGGTCTTTCCAGCGGTTCAGCCCTAATCTGTCCTATCAAGCTATCAAGCGGTTCCGTGGCTAACTCTCTGTTCTAGTTAAACTCCAAGTTTAACAAATCCTTCTAAACGAAGTACGGCACTGGTGTTCTCAACTGGTCTCTCAAGCTGTCCGGTCCTAGCTGTCCTCTCCAGCGGTTCCGGGGCTAACTCACTGTTCTAGTTAAACTCTAAGTTTAACAAATCCTTCTAAACGAAGTAAAGCACTAGTTTTCTCCTAACCGGTTTCTCTAGCGGTCTAGCCCTAACTGTCTTCTCATGGCGGTTCCGGGGCTAACTAACTTCTCAAGCCCCTGGATATGACTTTATTCTCCCGCTTTCCCGCTCTTTCTGGCGTACCTTCTTAATCACTCTAGTGTCACCTGTCTTTGGTGGTCACGTTTGGATGAACGTATCTCTTCAGCTGGTCACAGCTCACGGGCACTCGTCGAATGTTTCATCCCTCACTGTCAGATGTCATGGCGGTGTGTTCGGCATAGCTGGCTAGGCCATGGCTTTCTAATCACCCATTTCTGTCATTTCACACAGTGATGGATTAGTACGCCGTGTGGTGGTCTGAAATGTATGCTTGTTCATTTAACCCCTTTCTGCCTATATTTCATTACATTCGCCCTACACATTTTTTAACAAAATTGTTTCCCATCTTCAATTTTATAAAAACTACGCTAGTTATACCCGCTACCTAACTAAACCTTATATGAACATCTAGCCACGTAATGAAAGCATATAACATAACATGTAACATCATAAAATTCATGCAGTATAATGAAAACGTGACATGCATACAATAACTAATAGTCAATAATTCTAAAGACATAAAAAAAACGATACAACTCCCTCGTTGTATTAGCATAACAACCTCTTATTCACTGGTATCCCTAATGAATGTGCGGAGTTGTCTGAAGTATAAAGGAATAGTATCTGTATTCCCACTTTATAAACTCAAACCTGAAAACATTGTATACAAGAAATGACATGCCATGTATCCCCAGTTATCAATAAAGTAAAACTCGAAAATGTCATCTCCCCAAGAAAGGATGAAAATAGAATCTCTGAGAAAGTCAACATAGACTGAATAATAAGGTATAACCTTTACAGAGTATAAATAATTCTTATACCGTTAGGTATATTAATTGGAGAGAAATTTCTCGGAAACAATCGTAGCATTTCCTCAAGTCGAATGTACAATGCCACCACCTGTATTTACAGGCATTTATCTACTGTGATAGTCCACAGCGTTTATTGTTGCTTCCCTAAGAGGTTGCTTCCTCTGTTTAATGCATATCGCATCTTCTGTAAAGAAATAGCCGGCCTATATTCAGTTACCAATCATGTCATGCTTTGGACTGGCTTATCGCCAAGTACGTTTCTAACTGTGTACCTCAGTAAAGTCTGGTTAAACTCAAATCAGTCATCATTCTGACAGAATGTATAAGAGAGGTTTTGTGGCCAGTAACTCTCTTAGCGAACATAAAACATGTAGGTATTGTAATCTTCACCCACAACCGAACGTGTGGATTTTCACTTGTCCGGGAGAGTACAACACGATTAAAAAACGTTCATAGTGCAAAACCAAATGTAAATATTAAATGGTAGGGACAAAACAACGGTATATATTTAATATTGTCGGACAAATGACATGTAGACACAACAACAGAATATGTGTAGCGAGCGCGGTACCTCTGTACACAGCAATATAGCGTACGTAAATTGTAATGAATGAAACTAATTACTTGTTATACACCCTACAATCCCACATTTATTGAACCATTTTACGCACGATCCCATTTCAGTCAGTCATGGTGAAAGGGAGGGGGGGGGGGAGCTGTAATTAATGTATGGTTTACTCAGGGTATAAATTCAGTCTACCCCCTGGTGATTCTGGCCTACTAACTGTAGTGGATGCTAACTGTTCTAGTT